AGAAAAAGAAGAAGAAGAGAACAAGGTGAGATATGTGGTGTTTACTGTGTAGCTTCTGTTTGAAAGGCAACTGAAAGAAGAATGGTACAATGTAAAGACATAAGAAATGGGACTAGAGAACTTACCTCACTCCTGGTGACAATGATTCTGATCAAATGAGAGTCTCTGGTCCCAAGTCCGTCAACACAGTCTCTGATCCTTCTGGCGAAGAATCCGGGCATGTCCTTGGTGCTCTCCACTGATAAAGAGAGAAAAACAGAATTTTAGTTCAGAAGTCTTTAGAATCAGCTTTATTTTCTTCTTTTTATTCGCCTTCTTTCTGTCTGTCCTCCCCCCCCTTCTTACCCTCTTCTCCCTGTCTGTCTGTCTGTCTGTCTGTCTGTCTGTCTGTCTGTCTGTCTGTCTGTCTATCTCTCTCTCTCTGTCTCTCTCCTTAACCTTATAATCTTTTGTATTCTTGCCCCAAAAGACCACATATCTCAATTTCAATAATTTTCAAACCAAGTACATGTCATGTATGGAATATTATAGCAAAAGTAATAATAGGGGTTTTAAGTCCCTTTCATCTTTTAAAACTGAAAGCTCGTCCACGCAGGAGTAAAAATAAATCTTGACCCTCCAATTATTAGAAAATGTTTAGTGTTTTTGACGCATGACATCATGGCTACCCAAAACACAGCCCACCAGAGAGTGGAGACCATGAACGTACATACATAGCAGGTCAAGTACATTACAAAAGGAGAGTTCAAATTAAAGACCTTTACCAAAGCAGGATCTCAGAAACAAATGTCCATAGACGAATCATCCATGCGAATAAAAAAAACAAACAAACAAGCTTGAAATCTCACTGACAAGCCCATGTACATGAATGCTGAGTTTGGCATTTGAACCCCAAGACCATTCCTTTCTTGCATAACCTAGCATGATAGCCTACCAACGCAGGCTTCAAAATTTATAGAGAGAAACCTTGTGTTCTTTCATGTAATTGCAAAATTTATCAAATCAAGTTAATGATCTCAGGTTGGTTGACATTGTGGTTTGGTGGGGTATGTCCTGATAAAATCCCTTTTCAGAAAAAGTTTTCTTTTTGTTCAACAACAATATCAATACCAATATTACCAACATCACCACCACCAAAAACAACGACAACAATAACAACATATTTTGAAAGGAGCAGGGGTAGGAAAAGAATTTTGCAAATGCCGTTCAATTCTTACAACAACAAAAAAAAGAAAAAAAAAGAAAGAAAGAACCCCCCCCCAAAAAAAAACAACAACTGACCAATAGCAAGGTATCCCTCCTGCAGGTCCCCACTGCACTCATCAGATATTGACTCCTCGATGGTTTTACCGGCAATCTCCTCAAACTTGTAGAATGTCATCAAAAGCTGTGGTCGGCTTCTCAGACACAAGATTGCGTTCAGCTCCGCCTCCTCAGTGCCCCAACGTGCTTCACCAGCCTGTGAAAATACATGGGCATTTGTATTCATTTATTAAGTAAATAAATAAAAGCAAATTGTTGATGGGAAAAGAAGCAGAGGAAGACCGATGTTTTTCCATAAATTCGCAGACAACAAGTTACAAACACTGACCTACACAATATTAAAAGAGTTTCACAGAGTGAAGACTGAAACATGATAACTGCCATTGTCAACTATTTTCTTCTTCACTACTAGTACAGCCATTACTTGACTTGTTCTTACTTTCTTGTAGATGGTTGGAAGACACCACAGTTAAATCTATCTCTTTTGATTTTTTTCTTGCCCTAGATGACCATTCTTGTGTTGATGATGATGTCCTTCTTTTTACTAAGCCGCCCCCAATAAAAAAACCCCCAAAAATGACAACCAAACAAACACACAAACAAACAAAACAAACCCAACAAACAAATAACTTCCTTCCGCTCAACTTAAATCCTCCTTCCACACACAATCTATATCATCTGTTCTATTCCTTCTTCCTCCTTCAGATGTATCATGCTCCTTTTGTGCCTTTCTCTATTCCTTTAATTTTCTTTCATCAGCCATTATTTAATTTACATCAAATGTCTCTCCTTCTTTACTTTCTCCCCCCCCCCCTCCTCCATGTAAAAAAAAGAAACCAAAAAAAAAAAGAATTGCAAACAAACAAAACAAAATCATCAAATAAAAACAATAATATCACGCCCGCTCTCTCACATCAAAGAACTTCTGAGCATCCTCTGCAGCCTGATCATCGTCCACGTTGAAGCCGTTCTCTTGTCTTCCGGCCGCCATCAGAGAGACCATCAAACGACGGAAGTAGCCGGAAGTGTCGCTGCACAGATCTTCCTCCAGTTCAGAGTCAAACACTGCAGGAGGAAGTGAAAAGTGTGTTGTTTGTTATTCTGTCCCAGTGGTTTTATGCACCCCGCTTAATTTAGCAAAATTTGATCATTTTTTGGCATAATTTATGATTTTTTTCCATTATCATTCTTTGTTAAAATTAACAGAATCGCATAATTTCACATTTTTGGGCTCAGTTTGCATAATTTCCTAAATTTTTTTGCATAAAACCGCGGGGAAAGGTTATTGCTGAACAAGACCGCCTACTTGTAAATCAAACACAATTGAAATCATTTTGAAGGTGTATGGTTTGAAATACATGTATATACATGTACCTGGAATACCAGCAGGTGTCATCTCTAACTCAAAGGTTGACATGAAATGACTTGCCATAGTTTATGGTTGCAAGCTGCTCTAGTGCATTTTGTCATATTATATTCAGCCCAGTCCATACTTTGATGTTGTCAGCCCCCTTTGTGCATTATCCACCCTTAGCTAACTCATGTGCCCACATCTAGCCTTTGAGTATTTCCTTCATAATGGTCTGGTGGTGTTTTATTGTATTTGTGTCCACATGATTGCTATTTAAGATGGGACTGAGAAAGATGAGACATGGTAACGTTTTTATTGAGCTCCTCAAAGAGAAATTTGCTGTTGCATGGTAACCCTCCCCCTATACACACACACGCACACGCACACACACACACACACACACACACACACACACACACACACACTATCTCTCTCTGTCTCTCTTTCTCAGTCTCTCTCTCTCTGTCTCTCTCTCTCTCTCTGTGTCTCTCTGTCTGTGTCTCTCTGTCTCTCTCTCTCTGTCTCTCTCTCTCTCAAGTAACTTTCTTAAGGGTGCAAATGTTTGGCAAAAATATACTTGAATTCCCCATTTTTAGAATAAGTTAAAAGTGTCTTTCTAGTGTGCCATCACAGCAACCCACATTTCCACAGAGAGTGGAGACCAATATATTGGTAGTATATCGAGTAAGTAAGTCCCAAATGAAGGGCTCAAGTAGTCTTTTACTAAATGCTCAACCAAACGGAGTTAGAAAAGGAACTCACAACTCTCAACTTGCTTTTTGACAGGCCCTAAATGTGTCTTCTCACTTTCTGCACATGTGACTTACAGCAGGCAGAACGGCGCAAAGAAAACTTTATACAGTGCAAAGAACATTAACTTGACCAAGGAGTATAATAATATAGGCCTACATGTAGATTTAATCGTCAAATTCTAAAGAGTAACAACAAAATTCTTACTTTCTTTGTAGACAGCTTTGATCTCTTCGATCTCATCATTGGTCTTGGTACACAGAACTTCCACGATGGTTGTTTCATCGGTACCAGCTCCCTGTGTGTGTGTGGAGGGGTGAAAACAACAACGTATAAGAACAGCAGACTACAACTAGATCTACAATGTATTTTTATCAGATAAGAATATTCAATAATATTATACTGTTTCCATCCACCACTTCTCAATCAGCAAGAACGGAAACAGCTAGGACTAGGAAATAACCGGAACTTTCATACCCCCCCCCCCTCCCATTCCCAACCATTTACTTGCTTAATTAAAAAAAATAGTATATTTTTAAAGAAATGAGCGCGTTTTTATTAGTTCCTGAGTCCTCTCACTTCTCACCAGTGTATGTGGTGTAGTGTGTAGCGACGCTTCGCCGTCGCACGCAGAAGACCCGAGTTCGATTTTGTGAGGGGAAAATTTTTAATAGGCCTATTTTTAACGAGTATTTTGGTCCATCTGCGGGGCATCTTGTATCCTCTCAGCCCGGACTGGCCTTGACAGGCAGGGACAAGGCCCGCCTCCTAAATGAAGTAAATTGAGTCGATCGGGGTGTAAAAACGCCTATCTATCGGTAGGCCTACATTACAAAAAGGAGCATCCTCTTTTATCTGTGTAGGCCTACTTCTCTCTTTTTTCCCCCAGAATGTCAGTGTCATTTCAGAGCAGGCCGTAAGTGAATACTTCAGTACATGTTGTGATCTGCTCCCTCTGATGATTCTTTTCACTGGATCTATAGATCTAGAAGCGTTCTGTTCCGTCCTTGGCCAAACGTGGCTTACAAGACACGCGTTGCAACTCAACTGTCTTTCGGCTTTATCTCCTTTGTGATAAAAATAAAATCTAAACTGGTTCGGGCCTATCAGAGTTAGCTAGCCACTAAATTCCGAAGTTCTGTCTCCGGAATTCTTCAACATTCATAGGTGTATCCAAATTGTACATGCAATACCTTGTAAAGAGGCTATGTGAAGGTGATTTCTAAAGATGGCTCTTCCTATCATTATTGTACTTCATATTACAGTTACAGGGGCGGGTGGTTAGTGGGTGCTCTGTGGTTTGCTCCTTCTTTCCTATCAAACATCTATTGTCCTGATCTCTCCACCTTCTTTCTTGAGTTTGCAACTTTCTTGAAACACCCCTAATCTTCGGCATTTATATGACTATATTGTGTTGCAAGTGCTGAAAAGCTCTTACTAAAGCTAATACGTGTAGCCCCAGTCTTTCCGTATCGTCATTTTAGGGCTGGGCAATGAATCGCTTTAGCAAAATTCGGATAATATGTCAGAGCACCTCTTCTGCAATTAAACATGTTATGAACCGCTTCGGCAAATGGGTTAGAACCACTTCGACAAACGGGTTAGAACCACTTCAACAAATGGGTGCACCCACTTCGGCAAACGGGTTAAGAAAGAGAATTTAAGAGTTTAAATTCGGATAATGTTTCATTGAGAATTATCCGGTCATCCGGATCAGTTTTCCGAATTTTTTCCCACCAGTTGTCCTCATAAAGTTTACCGAGAAGCGTGCGTGGGTCAACCTGTAGGCCTACTTGTCGGGTCCGTTATAACCATGGCCGTTAATTGAAAATAAACCCATACCTGATCTCGTTGACTGGCAATAACCATGTTCATGAAGTGTACAGACCTACGTGTCGTACAAACAAACTACGAGATAAGACAGATATAACCCAGACTTTGAGACCAAAAAGAATTTTTACAGATAACATTGTCACGCAGGTATTGATAAATTGCGTCATTTGCGATAGCAAGAAGCACCAACTCAGCAAAAGTCCCATTTTTTTTCTTATTTTTTTCCCCGCTCTACTTTTTTATTGTTAATATTTGTTTGTTAGAATGTTTGTTTTCTTCAGTTCTCAAATAGCCTTTTAAAATAACAACGGCATCCGCACATACATTAACCCCCCCCAAAAAAAAACAACAACAACAAAACAAAACAAAACAACAACAACAAAAAACAAGACAAAGGAGAAAAACGAAACAATCAACTGCAACACATTTTCTCCTTTTATTCTCTCGTTCCCTTATTTAAAAAAAAATACGGACACGTTTCAACCAGTTCTTCACAACTGCTCTCCTCCAATGATAACCTAGTCCTACTTCCTCCTGTCTATCTCGATTTTCCTGTGCACTTGATCTCCGTTATCGTAACGGTGTGCTTCTTTTAGCTCAAACTTTAATAAAGCACAACTAAAAACCAAAACCAAAACCAACCCCCCCCCCCAAAAAAAAGGACAAACAAATCTCTTTAGAAAGAAAATCTAATACGTCAGTGTAACCCAACAACCAGACATCCGACAGAGGTGCTCTCAGCGATAATCGGAGACTTAAGCCGCTCCATATTATCAGAGCAGGAAATCGAGGCTTATTATTTTCACTTGACACGTTGATTAAAATACATTATACTTATACACCCACGCAAAACA